CCCCCCCCCCACCCCCCCCCCACCCCCCCCCCCCCCCCCCCCCCCCCCCCCCCCCCCCCCCCCCCCCCCCCCCCCCCCCCCCCCCCCCCCCCCCCCCACAACGGCTAATTCCCCTTTCCGCTCGCCGGTTCCTGCATGTTCGGACTCTCGACCAATCAGCATCGACCTCCTTCCCATCGACGTCGTTTTCTCCCTGGCCGCATCCAAACCAACACAGACTTGAACGACGCACGAGCAATGCCAAATGGCACCTTCGTCCCTGCAGTTTTCCCGTTTCGCTCGCCGAATTGCGTCTCACGCGACGGTCTGTACCTGAGGTCTCCCCCATCTCGAGCACGGGAATGCCCCGGGGGAAGGGTAGTCAAGCATCTCGGCCGTGAAGCTTGAACGTCGGCGGTGCTGTCTGCTTTTCCTCTTTGGGCTCGCCGGTGCAATTGAGCCAATCACGATGGAGGTCCCCGTGGCCGGGATATCAGCTGTAAGCCCTGCCGACGGCGAGTGACGCTGACGGATCGGCCATGTCGTTGGAGTTTGTCTTGTGCAGCGGGAGCCAAGATTGGAGGCTCTTTTGTGTTCCAGGGGTGGCGATTGTCTGTGGGTTGTTTGTTCCTTTTTTTGGTGTTTTGAGATGCGTGGTACGTCGGACGGGCTTAGGAGGAGCGAGGGAGGATATATATAAGGTCTCGATCGCGCTTTCCGTCTGTGGCGTTTCTTGGTTGTCTTCACCCTCTTCAATATCGTCGACGCAGACTCCGCGGTTTCGTGCCAGATGTTGAAACCGAGACTTTTTGTTTGTGAGAGGAGTTTTGGATAATTGGATTTCACTTGCGACCAACAACACTCTTTGAAAACCATCGCGAAAGCTACCGAGGCACGGCGTGCTAAACCATTACTTTTTAGTCACCATCGGTTGGTTACCACCACAATGTTGTTCAAGCGCAAAAAAGAAGACGTTGCTGTCGACCCTGCGCCGGCTGGGCAACCCGCCTCGCCGCGAACGAGCGAGACTCACGATGACCTCAAGAACGAGAAACAGCACCAGGGCAACCATGCGCCAGCGAAGGCTACGGCCACGGAAGTGGACTACCCCGTCGGCGTCAAGCTGTTCCTGATCATGTTCTCGCTTCTGGTGACCATGTTCCTCGTCGCAGTGGTAAGAATCACCCGCCCCGTGTCTCGTTCCCCAAGGTGACGACCGCCCGTGTTGACACTCACCTAGGACCGCCTCATCATCGCCACCGCCATCCCCCAAATCACCGACGACTTCCACTCCGTCACCGACATAGGCTGGTACGGCTCCGCGTACCTCCTGACCAGCTGCGCCTTCCAGCTGCTCTTCGGCAAGCTCTACGCCTTCTACAACATCAAGCTCGTCTTCATCGTCTCCGTCGTCATCTTCGAGGTCGGCTCCGCCCTCTGCGGCGCCGCCCCGACTTCCGTCGCCTTCATCATCGGCAGGGCGATCGGGGGCATCGGTGGCGCGGGAATCGGGGCCGGCGCCACTATGGTCATGGTCCATTCCATCCCGCTGCACCGTCGGCCCAAGTACCAAGGTCTCTTTGGCGCCGTCTTTGGCGTGGCGTCCATCGCGGGTCCGTTGTTGGGAGGCGCGTTCACGACGGAGGTTACGTGGAGGTGGTGCTTCTATATCAACTTGCCGCTCGGAGGTGTCGCGCTGCTCGTCATCTTCTTCCTCTTGAAGCCACCTGCGCAAGGGGAGGCCAGTAAGCTTCCGTTGGTGGATAAGCTCAAGCAGCTCGATTTCCTGGGCACGTCAGTCGTCGTGCCAGGGACGATCTGCCTGCTTCTTGCATTGCAATGGGGTGGCGTCGAGTACGATGTAAGTCATGTCCCATCAGAATGAGAAGGCCGTCACTGACGACGAGAACAGTGGAACAGCGGTCGAATCATCGCTCTTCTAGTCCTTGCAGGCCTTTTCCTCGTCACCTTCGTCACCCTCCAAGTCCTCCTCCCCAAGACGGCCACAGTGCCCCCGCGCATCATCAGCCAGCGCTCCATCGCCTTCGCCGCCTTCGCCTCCTTCTGCCTCGGCGCGCAGGCCATGATGTTCACGTACTACATCCCCATCTGGTTCCAGGCCATCAAGGGCTACTCGGCCGTCGACTCGGGCATCCGCACGCTGCCGCTCGTCCTCTCCATGATGGTCTTCTCCGTCATCACGGGCGGCATCATCACCAGGGTCGGCTACTACACGCCCGTGATGCTGCTCGGGACCGCGCTCATGTGCGTCGGCGCCGGCCTGCTGACCACCCTCAAGGTCGACTCCGGCGCGCCGCAGTGGGCCGGGTACCAGGTTCTTTACGGCGTCGGCATGGGTCTGAGTTTCCAGGCGCCCAACGTCGCGGCGCAGACGGTGCTGGAGATGAGGGATATCTCGGTGGGCATAAGCATCATGATGTTCATGCAGACGATCGGCGGCGCGATATCGAACTCTGTCGGGCAGAGCATCCTCAGCAATGAGCTTGTGGACAGGTTGAAGTCGATACCGGGCCTGGCTGGTGTTGATCTCCGGGGTGACGGCGCCACGACGCTTGTTGACCTGCCGGAGGACGTCAGGGGGCCGGCTTTGGAGGCGTACAATGACTCATTGAGGACGGTGTTCGTCGCTGGTTTGTCGATCTGCTGTGCTGTTGTCATCGGGGCTGCGGGTATGGAGTGGAAGAGTGTGAAGAAGGAGCAGATCGCCAAGAAGAAGGCCAAGGAAGACGCTGAGGCTGCTGCCGCTGCCGCGACAGCGGCCGATGGTGCGGTTGTTCCTGCTGCTGTACCGACGGTTGCACCGGAAGGGCAGAAGGAGAAGGGGGAAGATGGAAGGAGTGAGAGAGATAACAGTGTGACGGTTGTTGGCGAAGGTGACAAGGAGGGGAGTAAGGGGCATGAGACGACTGGAGAGTCGGGTGTGAAGACAGCATAGAATAATTAGAAGAGGAAATTTGTGGTGTTTTGCTGCTGATAAGTCAATTTCAACTAACTCGCTCATGATCTAACGCACTTGCTTGTGATGGGTAGTTCGCAAAGTTCGATATCTAGCACCCAAATCACGCTCGAGATGTGAAGTTGTCACTCGAGATTGAATGTCGAAAGTAGCATAGGCTAGAACGGAAGTTATGGTGCCTTGGTTCGGAAATCCAAGACTCGGGTGCATCTTGACTCACCTAGACCAAGTCTACACGAATGTCTCGTCGTTTCGGGAGAAGGCCAAGCTTCACATCCCCTCGCAGTGGGAATAAATTGCAGTGAAGTCAGGTCAACCAGCTCCAAGGTGTTGGTTGGCATCCTCTCGCAGTGGGAATAAATTGCAGTGAAGAGAAACTAGTGGGTTGGCTCAAGGTGGTCAGCATCCCCCGACGATCTCCCGCACACACATCGAGGACGATTCGCTGGCCTAGCTAGACGCATTGTTACACGATTCTCCATGCGGCTCAAAGCGCCCTGATTCCTTGTCCTGCGATCCATTTTATCGATACCGGACTGGGTAGAAGTTCCTGCCAAATGAACCTACGTGGAGGATGCCTTTCCTAGATACGGACTCACCACATCTCATGGACTAAGCCGAGTCGGCTATCTGCTGCTTATCTTCCTGCTTTGTTTCCATTTATGAACAGGCAATGAACGAACTGAAGAGTAATATGAGCACATCCTGCAATGAACCTTTTGCACACAGTCACCAATATATAACGATCATTGAGGAGTTTTGATGAAATTTGCGGGCATACAGTCTTGAGTCTTGACATTGTCGTTAACGCACACCAAATCCTATCCATTGTCATCTACAAGCCCACAACACCACGTAGACCAGACCTCATACATCCTGTCCTCTACTGCTCGCTAGTCATCCTCCTTCTCGACATGCTCTCCTTAACTAGTACAGGTGTCAATAACAGAACAATTCCATACTGCGTCCGCGTCTTGTGCAATGGAACATTGTGAGGGCCCAACGCACCTAGCCCCGACCTATTGAAAAACTTTCTGAAGAGTGCACATTGCCGCGTGAGTAGATACGTCGCACTGAACGCGGCATATAAATACAGTGGTGATTCTCAATCCTCCAAAAGGCAACGCAAGCATGACCAGCTTCGTCGCCTCTTCAGCTGCATTTTATCGTCCGACGCTGTATCTGTGATGTCAACAACGGTCGAGCGATGCTTGACCATAGCATTAAGCTGGACCGAAGGCTACAAACCGGTTCATGGTCTTACGCACTCGTCTTTTGTCGTCCCTGTCTGCTGTTTATGCATCGTTTCTCAATGCAGGTGTCAAGACCTACCCAAGGCACGTCTTTGCCTGGGTGACTGTATCAACTTAGAACTGCGCTTGCCAGCTGTCCCTTTCTTCCGTGGAATTTGCTGAAGCTTGGTTCCCGGCTTTCCCAATTGCTTCTCCGGAAAGCGACATCAACGACGCAAGGTAGTCTGTTATATACACGTCTACTCAGGAGTGTGTATGCATATCGCACCAGTTCCGAACGGCCACCAAAGGTGATTTTCATTACTGATTGAGACTATTAAATGACTCGGCACGAATGTAACAATGAGAACAGAACCCCGGAAAGGACATGGAACCTGATCGAAATATCGGCGTACTAGCTTCTACGTCTTCTGGTCCTGATGGTATCTACGAGGAGCGCGGATCTCCTTGTCTGGAAGAACTGAGCCCCAAGATGTCGAAAACACCTGCTACCTCCGGGCAGCGTCATCCTTTACTGTCCTGCTGCCTCGCCGTCCCCCGGCGGGTATTCGTGACGTTTTCGCAAAGTTGTCTCTCTCGAGAGGGTGCGTTCTCAGGCCGGTTGTCCTGGATCGTCGCATAAACAGGATAGCATCTGGACAACTTCTGTAAATCGAATAGAAACGTCGCCGCGCGGTACTAAGCTGGAACGAAGAAGGCAGAAACTCTGGAGTTGCTGTGCTGGAAACGGCCCTGACCGAAGTACTTATGTGGTCACGACTGGCCAAGCCGAGTCCATGTCCCTGTATGGCGGCATACTGCATCAGTGTTACTCTCGCCGGATTGTGAGACTGGCTTAGACTCAACGATGACGGGGATAAATGGAAGACTATGACTCCGACGAGGCCACCATCTTCTATGTAAGGATCAGATGTGAAAGCTTGCTCAAGACTCAATCAACAACGATGCTTCCATTTCATTCTGGCTTATCGAGCACAAGGGCTACGCCGGGTGCCACAATGCTGAGTTCTGTGGACGGCCAGGTGTATATAGCATTACCAGTCGGCCGAGGGGCTAGCGACTACAGCGACAGTCTGGTGACGTATACACGTTATCAATACATGTACGACAAGAGCGAGGAGAAGTAGGACGGGGGAGGGTAGTTTTTGAGGACCATTCGGACCCTTTTGCGAGTCCTTTTCTCCTTCTTTCGGATCATAGGTTCTAATAACATGCCTGCATGCTACGGAAATTTACTGTGGCAGAAGTCCCCGTTTTGCACGATCTCAATTGTGGTGTCTTAGCGAGAAGGTTGAGCTACGATGCTTTTCCCTGTAGTCTAATATTCCAACAAGAAGGGCTGATGGCAGACGCAGAGCGTTCGGCGCTGCACCTGGCCTTGGCATTGGGTCCTGTCAGACTGCCAATATTCAACTATATTACCATCAACTATCAAACAGCAAGGGTGCCCTGACGGACACTCTTGTGTGTCCGATTGTTATTCTCTGAGCCAAATTAGACCTTTCCCGTCTGTCTCTGGCCTCAATCAGATGTTGTTTCCCGCGATTTCGGCCTGAAGTAGCCGGTTCTTGGGCAAGCTCACGTTCTCTTAGACTCAACACACTACCGCCGTCCCCTGATATCCTTCGTCGTCGCCCTTTCTCGGTGATTATGCGAGCTGTCACTCACGCACCACCTGGGTTACGGAGTCGAGGCGGGCTTCACCAACACAAGAAGGCACTCAAGACTAGTAATCTTAAAATGACAAGCGTGAGTATCTCTACCAATCACGACAGCCAAGATCCTTGAAGCTACAAGCTAGTTGCCCAGACAATCAAAGTCACCGCAGAGGACAAAATATATATATCAGTATCTTATAAAAGCTCAATGGTACACAACGTATAAGACAACAAGCTGATCCCTCCTCCGGTTGTTATGGCAATCCAGGTCAAACGTTGTCGTTATTTTCTTCGGGCTTCGCCGTCATCCATTAAGATACCTAAGGCTTCAGGATTCAGGTGCACACACTTAGCCATTTAAACGTCGCCATAGGGCTGTATTCCAAGCCCCGGAATTTTAAACAGGAGCAGATCAACCAGGCTGCTTCTGTATTTTACTGCTGAGTTATGTGGAAGAGAGATGAAGAGACTACGGGGTGGGCAGACCAGTCACCTCAATGATGGACTTGCTTGGAGATTTGCGAAAGCCAGTGCCGCTGGTCATCGTCCTCGTCCATCAGGTATACAGCCTCACTGGATATTCTCCAGTCTGCATAGCTATAACAAACATGAATCCAGAACAGTCGGCGTAGCTAGCGTTGGGGCGTAGTCTGAGATTGGAGAACTGTCCGCCCAAAAACGACCAGATACAAACACGATCAGGCAAAGAGATTGCTGCTCTTTGGACTTTGGTGTTCCATTAGCTAGTCCTGGGCCTTTTATCCTTCTCCTTGATCCTACGACCTGCTACGAAGTCGAGGATCGGGGGGAGACCAGGTGTAGAAGGAGCTTTTGCGTTCTTGCAGCTGTATAACTTGGACAGCAAACATCGTGATGAACAATCAACAGACTCGGATTCGCCTGCATTCCTGCTGCTTGGTGTCTCATGTGTACGAACTCCCTCAGTCCCAAGACAAATGCCATCAAAAGCCCGTGGACGTGGAATTGCCCCGCCGCATGTAGAAGTGTATATGAGTACTCAGTATACCCGCCAAGCGACCACGATGACGGAGGACGCCCAATAACACGCCGGCTCTGGGTGAAAGGCTGTGATCAAGTTTAAGAGTCCCAAGTCAGACCTGTGACTCCTTGTCTGGAATCTACTTAGCCATCTTGACGGATTTGCCTCTACAAATCTTTTTTCTAAAGTGACGACTAGCCAGCTTTTATACCTCCATGCAAATGGACAGACACCGGTGATGAGATATACCCATGTTAGCCAGTCAGCACGAGAATCCATCTAACAAAACCTGCAACTGCGCGAGTGCCGGGATGGTCCGCTGGTACACAAGCTCAGAAGAATATTTAAGGGGGCGCATCTGGAATCGAAGCTGTGTTCTTCAGCCATAAAACGTCGAAGCCCGGTGAGAGGATCTTCGGGAAACTACAGTTAACGAGGACTTCAATTCCTTGGGCAGATAATGAGGATGGCGGCGTACTGCTTCGGACTCTTTCGAGATTCTCAACGAGTACGCTTTCACTTTATCATCCCGCATCGTTCTTCACCTTCATTCGCAGTCTATTCGTACGTGTATGAGCTAACTAGACGTTTACGTCCAAGTGGACTAGATGGAAAGCTTGTTCCTAAGGTGAATGTACCAAAAACTTGCCATATTTGATGAGCCTCGTCTCCTTCGCCTGATCGTCTTAGGAAGGCTTCCACATCACACGCGATCATCATTCAAGCGAGGCTGGGCTGGGCTTCTTGGCTATTGAGAGAGCTAGGTGGTCTTATACCCGCGGATCATGAGGAATCTCGTTGTAGAATACCCGACGATATGAGGCTGCGGAGTCTCAGGTTTGCGTCTGGAGGCAGTCGTCTGCTGGCATACACGACACAAGCTGATCACGAGGAACATCATACCAGGAACCGCGGGTGTAAACGCGCCGCAGATCTGTAAATGTTGCCGAATTGGCTGTATTCATCCCATATAACCCGTTGACGTTGAAAAGTCTGCCCATGTTGCAGATTGACGTGGCAATATGCACTCGAGATTCACAACATCGAAGCACGGAACTTACAGCCGGT